AAGCAGCTCCCTCGCAGGTGGCCCCGGATCCTGGGCCACCCTTCCCCCCCCGGGCTCTCGGCGGCTCTGCCACGTCCCTTCCCCCCCTTCCTTTTTCTCTCTCCCCCTTTCCCTGCCTTTCGGTTTGCCGGCTTCCTCTCCGGGCAGATCCTCCCAGGGTCTCTGATCCCACTCCCCACGCACGTGGTGCAGGCAGAGGAGGAGGAGGGAAGGCGCTTAAGGAGGGGGGGCACTTGTGCCACATACACGCGCTTGGCACAATGGGCGCCTGTGATCTGAGGTTGTGAGCCGAACTGCACCAGCCCATTTTCCCTGCCTTTCGGTTTGCCGGCTTCCTCTCCGGGCAGATCCTCCCAGGGTCTCTGATCCCACTCCCCACGCACGTGGTGCAGGCAGAGGAGGAGGAGGGAAGGCGCTTAAGGAGGGGGGGCACTTGTGCCACATACACGCGCTTGGCACAATGGGCGCCTGTGATCTGAGGTTGTGAGCCGAACTGCACCAGCCCATCTCAAGCTGCCATGCTGGCCCCTTAGCTCCCGGGAGGTGCCTGCCCTCCTTGCCCAGGCATGGGGTCAGTCCGTGGCTGTGGTTGGCACTCTCGTCCTGGCACTCCCTTGCCACGTCTGGTTATCTAGGGGTTGCAGACGGGCATCTGATGTTGGGGCTCTCCTTGCTTGGAAACTTTGACAACCTTCCAGGAAATTGTCCCTTAAGTAACTCCTTGTTTGTAGGAGTTTCCTGGTGACCACCACAGTGCCTTGGGCAGAGGGTTTCGTTTCCGTGTTCCTGATAAAGCTGCTGCCCTTCCTCTCTAGCACAAGGATGTGGTGGAATCTTTGGTCCTCTAAATATTTTGGGCTTCAGTTGCCAGATGCCTCAGCCTACCTGACCAATGGTGGGGGATTGTGGGAGTTGTCTGAATATCTGGAGGGCCAGGGGTCCCCTACTTCTCATCTGTCGCCATTTCCTAGGTTTTAAGTGGGACAATGGAATTTGAGCTTTGTTTTCTCTCTATGAGTGACTAAGATCTGATTGCATTGGCTGCTGTGCTAAGACTCTCGAGAGTCCTAGCACAGCCTTGGATCAGTGGGATCCCAAGGTAAATCCTCCTGTGGGCTTGCAGTTAGTGACTGCTCTCCCCTTAAGCATTGTACAAGCCCTTCAAACGTTGCATAAGGGGCACCTTAAAGGGAAGTACAGTATATAGAGGAACCTAGTAGCCTCGTGGTGCAGTGGTTAAAAACTGTAGTACTGCAGCCAAAACTCTGCTCATGACCTGGGTCAATCTCAGGTAGCCGGCTCAAGGTTCACTCAACCTTCCATCCTTCTGAGGTCAGTAAATTGAGTACCAAGCTTGGAGGGGGTGGGTGGGAATGTGTAGCCTGCCTAATTAAATTGTAAACTGCCCAGAAAGTGCTTTAAGTGCTATGGGGCGGTAAATAAGCAGCACACTTTGCTAGATAGAGGAAGTGACTTATTCAAGGTCAGTGGTGTAGAGTCATGCAGTTTGATATACAGAACTGCCGAAGGACAGTAGGATAAAACCATGGAAGTTTTTTTTTTTCATAATTGGTTATGTGCAGCCCTAACTGATAGACATGATGTGCCTCCAGTCTATACAGATAACAGGAACAAGCCCTCACAATTTTTTATCTCTGTTGCCCTGATACTGATGGCTCATCTGCCCTTATTCCTACAGTCCTACAGTTGTTATTGAAGGCATCCCTACGTTTTTTTTTAAAAATCCAAGCTTCTTCAAACATTTGAGAGACAGAATCTCGCTTCCAGAGAGAGACACAATTCACCCTTGGCAGACAAATCGAAAGGAAAAGAGAGGATTAGACAGTAGGGTTTGAAGAGCTGAAACAAAACAAAACAAAAACCTTTGCTGCAGGCTGTTGGCAGAATATAGTTGCCTTATTAATCCACTGTAATTGCCCTCTGGTTGCCTAATCCCCACCTTTCTTCCCTCTAATGAGAACAACGATGATCAAATTTTGGCCTTCCTTATGAGAGCTCCATTGTTCCTCTGATCAAAATCAAGTGAGAAATTTGGCCCGCAAACTTCCTTACAGCTCACAGAGAGAGGATGAACTGGTCAAGCTGAAAAAACCAGAAAGGCAGCCAGCTTGGAGGAGAAGAACTTGTGGTGCTCAGAGGTTTCCTTGTCCAGCCACTTGTGTAACTTAATAGGCAAAGCCAGTCTTAGCCATTCTCTTCCTCCCGTCCCCACACCTTCTGGGGATTAGACATTTTTCCCCTGCTCCTACACAAAGGGGAACATTCTTTTCCTTTGTTATGGACTGGCACATTAATGCCAGCATGAAGCTGGGAACTCTGGAGATTCCTGCAAACTGCAGCCTTCATCAGGGTTTTAGGCTGTGTCCCTCAGCCTGCCAGCTGCTTGATGAGCAAATTCCAACTCCATCCTTTACAATAGATCATTGAGTGGCTGGCCGGCTGCTGGCTGCCTGGGAATGGTGCCCATCTGAGCTACATCTGCCTCTTTGCTGCCCTCTCCTGGCAGCTGGCACTTCTGCAAAGTCAGCTGATGGGGGTTTCCAGAAAGGCTACAGCATTTCCTTTATGAACCAAATGTCTAGAACAGAAGTGTGGAATTTTTAGTCCTCCAGACGGTCAGGATGTCAACTCCCAGGTGCTACAGTTACTTGCACCTTGAATGTTAAGGGACTACAGGAGTTTCCCCCCCCTCGTCTCTTTATTCTTGTCAGAAGCACCACAGTATAATTAATAAACGTGTGAGAATGATAGTGTTCACCCAGTAACAGGCAACGTCAAGAGCATTTGGGGCAGCTGTCATAAAATCTTCTATGGTACACATTGAAGAGTACCCTGATGTAGGTGTGAAGTTGCCTGGTTTCCATGGTTGCACAGAACTATGCCAGTGCAAAAGCCCCATTCTTTCAGGTTCACCTCAGTTCTGCCTGGTCCACTTCCATAGCCTATTAACGGAGTTCCAAATAACCCAGTGCTTTGCATGACCGCGGGCTAGACTTTCCTGGGATTACATCCACCACACGTTGAAGAGTACCCTGACAATAGGCGTGAAGTTGCCTGGTTTCCACGGTTGCACAGAACTATGCCAGTGAAAAAAGCCCCGTTCTTTCAGGTTCACCTCGGTTCTGCCAGGTCCACGTCCACAGCCTATTAACGGAGTTCCAAGTAACCCAGTTCTTTGCATGACCACGGGCTAGACTTTCCTGGGATTACATCCACTCCATTTTAAGAGATGGGTGCTCCTTCCTTTCCACATTATAGTCCTGTCAGCCTCCGCAGTTCCTTCAGGATGCTCTGAAAAATGCTTGTCTTGCCTTTGATCTGAGGCAGGTGGTGTGGTAGCAGAAGAGTAGATGCCCATTTGATGTAGATGCTTGGAGTCTTCTGATCTTGGCTGCCCCTCCCCCACACTCCCTGTGTGTTATGGGAGCTCTTGGAGAACACTTGGAAGGCCTGGATTTCCCCCGTCCTTATCCTACAAGTCACTGAACATTGCCTTCAAGGCTGTCTTGCCAGTAGCTTGTTTGGACTTGTTTGGACTCCCAGGCTCAGAGTTGTTCCATAGATGGTGGGAAAGCACACCAGCCCTGGTGCCGGGAGCAGTGCTGTAAGAATTTGTGCTATTTCATCCTGGTATCCTATGCAGGACTCGCATAAGCAACGGCCTTGTTCTCTTGCTACCTGGCCTTTCCCCAGGACATGAGCCAAGTGGCCAGTGACCTAGCCAGGCATCTTGATTTTTATCAGCTTGTGAGCCTTTCACCCAGATTCTCCATGGAGCTACATTATAAACACCAGTTGCGTCACAGTGAGACCAGGCAGTATGCCTGCCTGTCGCACAGTCCACGGGGCGCGCTCATTGATCCGCACACCCGAGGTCCAGAAGCAGATGTGCTAGCAAGCTTTTGTGGAAGCAGGAGTTACTCTGTCCATAGACTTTCAGCCATAGCTGGAACAAGTCCCTTGCAGCTGTAATGGTTAAAGCATCCCAGATGGATCTTACTTGTTAGGCTATGAGAAAAAGAATGCAGGGGCCAGGCTCCACTGAATAGAATAGAAAGGTGTTTGATCTGCAGAGGGAGGCCTTTGGCAGTCTCATTGCCCACTCTGGCTGGGGTTTCTGGGAGTTGACATCCAAAGCATCTCAAGGGTGGCATGTGCCCTTCCCCTGTGGTAAACAGCACACGGGGTGGACTTGGGAGGTGGCAGCCCATGTCAGGGAGCTAGGATTGTCCATCTGAAAAGACTAGCTTCCCACCACATCCTGGTGGAGAGCAAAGAGTTTTGCCAAAGCAACTGGATGCTGTTCAATATGCTAGTGGGGAAGAGAAAAGAGTAACATGTATGTATTGTACTGTCTTATGCAAAGATACAGTTTCTTAGTGTATACTGGGAAGATGAATAAAGAGTTCTTTAAAAAAGTTACACTTTCAATTAGAAAAAATTCCTCTTTAAGCTCCAGCGGGCAGCACCGTCTAGCTTTGTTCATCCTCTGGAGGGCAGGGTTCAAGGCAGAGGTTAGTATGAATTCCTGAGATCGTGCCAATGAGATGCAATCTTGGTGTTCAGGATGAGTGCTTCTGCCCTGGGTTGTCCTTCTAGGAACAAGAACCCTGCCTGATCTAATCTGATCCATTTGCTCTCTTATTTTTTCTGCCCAGGTCCATCTGCAGACCCAGCAGGAGGTGAAGTTGCGCATGTCAGGGATGGCACTGCGTGTGGTTCGCAACGATGGCTTTCTGGCCCTCTACAACGGGCTGAGTGCCTCCCTGTGTCGGCAGGTGGGTCCCGCGGTGATTGCTGGCTGCAGTCCTATTAGACCTGCTCCTCGTGTTTATAGGGGCTTTATGGATCCGCTTCTTGGCTCCATCATTGCCCGTGGGAGTTCTGCCATTTCTCCCAAAGGCCCGGGCCATTCCAAAAATTCATTGCTGAGATTGGCTTCTTATCCAGATATTTGGGGATTAAATTTTCCTTAGCTCTCCAAGACCCGGCGTCTGAATTGATTGTGGTTATGACAAAGTTCCCACAGAAAAGCTCAGGGGCCACTGCCATCATAGAAGAGCCATAGAAGGAGATTCTAAGAACAAGGATTTCTGAAATGAAGCCCGATCTCTTCTCTAGGTTGATCTCTGCCTGGGCGTTTGGTGAAGCAAGGAGCCTGTATAGATGAGTGTGCACTGGGAGCAGTGGCAGGTTGTTCAGCTGCTTCCACTAGCAGGGTCTGACAGTCATCTTGGCATTTTCCCTTCTGTGCATGGACCGTTCTGATGCTTCTCCCATAACTGGGCACGAGCCATACCCTTGAAAGGAGCTTTCTAACAGGGTACAGTGACTCCTATAGCTTCAGTTAGACACTTGCTTGAGTGTCATTCAAATCACAGAAATTATGCTTATGAGTTCCCAGTAGTTGAGCTGAACTGGAGTGTTCTGTAGCAGCCAGGCCCCAGAAGAAAGCTTTATGTGGAGCCATGCATACACTGCTGGGCAACATCAGTTGACCAGTTAAAAAGAGTTGTTGCTAATAATTACAAAGATAGTGATTTGGATGCCAAGGAATTCTGTGCAGTCCTGTTGTTGTCACTTTATGTTGGGGTTTAGATTTACTGGAACACACACCCTTTGTATAGGTTGGGTGGCTGATTAAGATTGGATGTTAGTTAGTTAGTTAGTTAGTTAGTTAGTTAGTTAGTTAGTTAGTTAGTTAGTTAGTTAGTTAGTTAGTTAGGATGGCCTGCCCTGGGAGTTTGATGGATAAAAATGGTTTCTTGGTGGTCATGGGTCGTTTCCTGTCCTCTTGGCAAGCAATCTTATTGAAGCCTTAATTGATCTCTGAAATGGAGAAATATCCAGGATAGTAGAGGTCACCACACCTAGGATTCCCTGTTTACGAAACAGAGAAAAATTAGCCTAAGGAGCTAAGGAATAAATGGGACAGAAACGATGGTGGCGATGACATAAAACTTATAAAACTCAGAGAAGTTCTGACTGAACACTTGGCAGTGTGCAAGTCATTCTTCTCTGCCACCGTTGTGTCTGCATAGAGCTTTCTATAGCGGTCAAGGGTTTATCACTCTCTTGCTCCCATGATGGTGGTGATGACATAAAACTTATAAAACTCAGAAAAGTTCTGACTGAACACTTGGCAAGTGAGCAAGTCATTCTTCTCTGCCACTGTTGTGTCCGCATAGAGCTTTCTATAGTGGTCAAGGGTTTATCACTCTCTTGCTCCCAAGAAGAGGATGCTGAACTCTTGACAGCCCCTGTGAGGAATTTGCATGCATGACACTTTGCAGACAAAATTGCTCTGATCCTCAGGCATAATTGCTTGAATCCCTGTTAACTTGGATGCTTCAGTTGACCCAGGCTCTGTAGATGTAACCTTGGCCTTAGCTTGTCCAATTGTAATGGATAGGTCTCCATTTGTGGAGCCTAAAGATGTGACCTGATCCTCAGAGAGCTGAGAGGTGCTATCAGTGTGTTGGATCCTTGGCTCAGAAAAGCAGCTGGGGAAGGGGGAACTGGGGCCAAGGGCCAACTGGTAGTAGATGAGGGAACTCGTGAGCGCCTCTTTTCAAGAAGGCAAGTTCACAGCGCTCCTAAAAAAGAAGACTGTGAGAGCTTTACTGAAAAAAATTCCTCCTGCAATCCCACCATATTGAATAATAATCACTTCGTCTCCAACATTCCATTCTTGGGCAAAGTCCTGAACCATCTGATGGCTTTCAAAGCTCACAGGGTTCCTGGCTGAGAAAGATGATCTGTGTAGATCCACTTCATTCTGACCTCCCAGTTAAGGCACAGAGATGGCTTTTGCTGCCTTGGTAAATGATGCGTCCTGGGAATTGGACTGTGGGAGCGTGTCCTAGTTAGTTCCGCTGGACCTCTCTGTGCCTCTTGCTGCCATCAGCCATTATACAGTACCCTTCTGGGTCACCTCTTTAGAATGGGACTCCGAGGCAAGGTTTTGCATTAGCTGTAATCTATTCTGGAGGAGTGGTTTTCAAAGGTAATGTTGTGCAACTCTTGCCCAGCACCTTGGCTGTTGGCCTGTGGGATCCATTAGAGTTCTGCTTTGTCCAAACCCCCTCCCCCCTCCCAGTTTAACACATATATTAAGCCACAGGGAGACGTTTTCCATAGTTTGGGCACTCAGTGTCACCAATATGCTGACAGCAGTCAGCTTTATAATCTCTCCTTTCTATCTAACTCCAAGGAAGCTGTTTCAATTCTAAATCAGTGGCTGATGTCAGTAAAGAACTGGATGAAGGCTTAATTGACATGACAGAGGTACTCCTTGTCAGTCAAAAGACAGATGATCACAGAATAGGAATTCAGACTGTGTTAGATGGAGTCACATCTCACTTGAACCCTCACATTTCACAGCTTGGTGCTTTCCTGGATTCTGTCCTGAGCTTGGATAGTTAGGTTTCAGTGATGGTGAAGTGGATTTTTGTAGTTAAAGTTAATGCATCATCATTGATATGTTTGTGTGGCTAGGCTGCTGTGTGCTTCGTTATGTCCCATGTGAATTACGATAACACTGGATTTTTGTAGTTAAAGTTAATACATCATCTACACCTGTCCTTGATATGTTTGTGTGGCTAGGCTGCAGTGTGCCTCGTTATGTCCCATGTGAATTACGATAACATGCTCTTTATAGGCCAGCTTTTAAGAGTGCTCAGAAGCTTCCACTGCTCCAAAATGTTGCAACCCAGTAACAGACTGGGATATGCCTCCTGTAACAGACTGGAATCTGTTAGAGGGACCATGTATCTCCCATGCTGCAATAACGCTGCCACCTCTGCTTACTGGAACCAGTTCCAAGTGCTGTTTTTCACCTATAAAGCTTTATTAAGGCTGTCTAAATAAAACACTGTATGTCCCTCTATGAGCCTCCCCAGGGTTTAATATCTTCAGAGATAGCCTTTCTTTTGATCTCGCTGGCTGCACAAACATGTCTGGGGAAGACACAAAACAGTGCCTTTTTGTTGGTCGCTTACAGGCTACAGATCAAGGTTATATTGTCCCCCTTTTTTTCTGTGCTTCCATGTCAGGCAAGCTTTTGGTAACTGTACAAACTGCAGAGAAAGGGATTTTTAAAGAGGGAATGCATCACTTCTTTCTAAAAACGTTTTAGGTGTCTCTGTGTTTTTGTTCTTAAATGGTCTTAAGTACACGTTCTTTGAATATTACCTGTTTAATTGTGTTTTTAACAGCATAATGCTGTGTAGCTCTGTGTGCGTCCCATTTTGTTAGCCATCTTTTGTCCTTTGATTGGGAGAAAGGCATTATATAAATTAAATAAATACATACATAAATAAATGGAGGCACAAGTGTCATTTTAGTGACTTGATTTATACCTCACGCTTCTGGTAAAAACGAACTCAAGGTGACTCTGGACAAGGTTAAAAAATAGCTACATTAAAAACACAGGGAGTTGCAACATTTGGGGGGAAAAATTAAAAGCAGTATTTAGAAAAGCACGACTAAATTAAAAGCCATTTTAAAAGCACATCAATAAAAGCACCCTCCATTCATTAAAAGCCACTTTGGCAGCAGCTGGATGATTGCTAAAAGCCCTTCCCACTAAAAGGGCCTTTCCGTAATGCTTGGACTATGGCCAGGCCTCGTCTGCGAAGGAGTGGTGGTGGCTGTCCTTTTCTTCGGATCAGCCGTTTCCCTGGGCTGCGCAGGGCCCGAGACAAGGCTGCCATCCTGCTGTGACCCTTTCTGCTTCCTCAGATGACGTACTCCCTCACTCGCTTTGCCATCTATGAGACTGTGCGGGACGGCTTGAGCCAGGGGGCCCAGGGGCCCATGCCCTTCTACCAGAAGGTGCTGCTGGGCGCCATTGGAGGTAAGCTGGGGCCCGGCATGTGCCAAAGGACGGGACAGCTTGGGACAGGCTGTACAGCTCACTGGCTGTTCTCTGGTTGCAGGTTTTGCTGGAGGCTTCGTGGGGACCCCTGCAGACATGGTGAACGTCAGGTCCGTGTCTCTTTCATCTTTCCCTTTGGCTCGGTGAACCTTTTCCCTCTCCAGATCCCCATGATCCAGTTGGTGAATCCCCACAAGGAATCCCATGCAAGGAGGAGATGAGGAGTGGATCATAAATGTAAGGGTAGAAATCCTTCTGCTCATTGACCCTGCTCAGCATCTTCTGCTCTCTTTGCTGTAAGGATGGGGCACCTCCAGTCCACCGGATGTTGATAAACTTTCCTTCCATCAGGGCTCCCCATTGACTTGTAGGCCAGCGAGCCTCAGATTTCCCAGCCCTGTTCTACATCTCTTCGTGCTGAGCAGGCTCAAATATGTTGTGGAGTGATCGTGATGGTCAGGTGGGCGTCTATACGTCCTAGCCTCCTTCATCTGTCATGTTCTTTTTCTAGGATGCAAAATGACATGAAGCAGCCCGTCCATCTGCGGCGCAAGTGAGTGTGGCGGAGGAGTCCGGCATGTATGACAAAGGAGAATAAAAGGATGTGGGAGGGCCTTGCTTCATCCCAAGAGCGGCTATATTGAAGCTGCAAAGCCCCTGGTCCTTAAAGGGGTATTATTTGAAATGTTGGTTCCTCTTGAATTGGGGCAGCACCCTTGCAGATGAAAGCCCAGAGATCTAGGCCATGCCGGCCAGGACCTCAAAAGTCCATGCATGGGCTTGAAGCTTATGGGGACAGCCAGCTGTTTTGTAGGTGCATTGGGGCGAACAGAAGCAGGTTCAGGCTGCTGATTGTCTCTTCTTGTTTCCCAGCTACACGCATGCGCTGAATGGGTTGTATCGAGTATGTCGTGAAGGTAAGAACCTAGGCAGTGCTCAACAGGGCTACATCATGGTTGCAAGAAGACTCAAGCAAGAGTCAAGGCACCTCCTTGAAAAACAGAAAGGGGCATTTAGGAGGACCTCTTACAAGAGCTGCCTTACTTACCAGAGCTTAGAAACAGTCCGTCCCCCTTTTTGGGGGGAGGAAGAACTACTGCTCCCAGAATCACCCAGCCAGCATGGCCACTGGGAGTTCTAGTCTAGAAAAGGAACATCTCCAAGCTTTTGCTCTATTTTTTTGTGCTGCAAGTGGCAGATGACAGCAAATCATGCCTGAGAAAGGTCAAAGCCATCCAAAGCAGAATTGGTGCCTGCCCAATGGGGAAAAGCCATCAAAGAAAACTCCCTGGAGAATAATGGTGGTGGCAGGAGGAGTTAGCACAGAACATATGGACCAACGTCAGCACTCTAGCCGCTAGGCTGCGCTGGCTTTCTTCGCCTTTGAATATGTGATTTGCTGTCTCCTCCAAAAGAGGAGACGAGTAAGATGCTTAGGAATGTGAAGGGATTTAGGCTGATCTGAACTACACATGTTGCATTTGAAGTCTAAAAACATGTCTGTTTCCTTGGCTTTTTGACCTTTAGAGAGAATGAACATGTGGGGAACCCAGGCCCGGGAAAAGAAGAATTTAACTTATTCTTCTAAGTTGCAGTGGGCAACCTCCAGAAGTCCCGCGGACACAAACGCTCATTCCTAAACTTTGGAGGGCTGTACCTGCTCCTGCAGCCCCATCCTACAGGCATTCTTCTTTTTTAAAAAATTGGGGCCCCCAGCTTGCTTTGGTTCATGCTCAGTGTGGCTTTGCCCCCAGTTGCCTGGGACACCAGTTGCAAATTTATCTTGGTGAATCAGGGTAAAAGCTAATCCAATGTCCAATCTGAGTAGCTGGTCACCCTGAGGACAACAAACACAGCCCAGTGGGAATGTGCTACAAGGAGTTATGCTTGGTTACCCATTAACCATATCCGACTTTGAACTGAAAACAACAAAAGGCAATGAAACAATCGTTTGATTTTTGGAGAACATGTTAAATCTTTCCATCAGTATTTTTCACCACCTTCATACCTTGTCCAGTTTTCTGATCACCTGACTTTGGGCAAATGCTCGTTGGTGTTCTCCCCATGAAATGTCCAGCTGTTTCATCCGTATTAAAGCCAGCCTATGATGGAACAGAGTGAAGTCAGTTAGCAAGCTGTTTCAGTGTTCTCTCCCAGCTTGCTCATAAAATTGTAATATAAGGGCACTCCTGCCTTATGGGGAGCAGTACAGAATCCCCCAAGGCTGAGCAGTGCTTTCAGGGTGAGAAAGTTCAGCTGCCAAAGAGGAGTTCATAAGTGGGAAGCACAGATGTGCCTCTTCTGCGGCTGGGCAAGAACATCTGGATGGGAGGAGTGAAGAGGTTGGCCCTCAAGGGAAGTGGGTGAAGGGAATCAATACCCTATAAATTCCATGGTGGGATCCCTTTCTTCTTTGCAGAAGGCGTGAGGAAATTGTTCTCTGGGGGGTCAATGGCATCAAGTCGAGGGGCCCTGGTTACTGTTGGACAGGTATGTATCCAGTAGAGCTGCAGTTGCCTGCATATCCAACTCCCTACAGCATCTCACGGGCATGCACATTCAGCCAGACACATCCCCATTACAACATATCCACTGCCCCTCCCTGTATGCTTCCGTTTTAACTTCCTGAAAATAGAATGGAGTGGAAGTTCTGTTTTAAATGAGGACAGCAATGGTCAGAAAGAAGGGGGTATTTGGTAGGGATGTATGTCTTTGCATATTTTGTTATCACAAGTTTGAAAAGTTTTCTCTGCTAGCTGAGATTACAGAATGTTTGTGCTTTTTCTTTGAATTTCAGCCCTTTCAAAAAAAAAGTAGGTGTTTTCAGTTTTAAAAAGCACAGACAAAATACAAGAGTTTCTGCATGAAAAACAAGTTTTGCACAAACAAAAAGAATTTTGTGAATTTTGTGTTGCTGATGGGGGGTAGTATATTCTTTTCATTCTTCATTCTTACGTATGATAGAAAATTCTTAAATCAGTTGTCCATCTATATATTTAGAGCAGGGTGTGATAGAAAAATCTGAGAATTTATAGCATCCTAGATGGTCCAGAAAGATTAGAAAATATGCTTGTCAGAATGTAATCGGGGTTTTGACAAATTAGTATGGGACTTGGTCCTCCAAGCATGTGAGAAAATAGATCTTAGTCGTTCATTTCAGTTAAGCTTTACAAATGTCCCAGTGCCCTACTTGGAAATAATGGCACCACCAATTACAATAAAAGGGAACACTTGTGAACATTTAAAGGCAAGGTCAAACCACCAGTGACGTCTGTATCAACATTCAGAAATGGTTAATTAACCTGTTTACTGACAACACAGCAGTGGTTTTAGCCAGGCCTTCAATAGAGATCCCACATATAGTAAATACCTCCTTTTATGGCAAAAGAGTGGGATTAACTATTCCTATAGGGAAATCACAAATTTGGGACTTAATATCAGTGCGGCTGAGGCCCGCTGACTTCAGTCTGCCTCTGACATCTCTGTTACCCCAATATCCCTGAGCTACCCTTGGTATTACAATCCTGGCTTGATTATTCAAAGAAAATCGCTTCAGTTAGTAGCCCCTTCTGCGTCAAATAAAGTGAAAATGAAACGTTTGGAAGTAATTAATACTCTCTTAATTGGAAAGGATAGCTACCATGAAAATGTCTGTCCTACTTAAACTCAACTACCTGTTACCCACAGTCTCTGTGGGAATATGTCTGAACCGCCTTCACTATTGACAACTGTTCCTGAAATTTATATTGAGGCAAAATTACCACAAATTAGCTCTTGATTTTCTGTATCACTCTCAAGGTGGATTTGGGTGTCCCTGATTTCTGTGATTCAGCCTATCACATTAAACAACTTTTAATGACCTTTTTGCCTTTACGGAGATCCCATTGGGGCCCAGGAAGGCTCCTGGCGGGGGGGGGGCCTGATTGCAGTTCCACTGCTTGGGCTTCTGGGGCGCCACAGCTGGGTCTAGTAGACACTGGGCGGTGCAGGTGAACCTGTGTGATGAGCACTGCCAGCTTTGGGGGGCCAGTCTGATCGTTTTCTGCTCCTCTGCAGCTTTCCTGCTACGACCAGGCGAAACAGTTGGTTCTCAGCTCTAATTTGCTCTCTGATAATATCTTCACCCACTTCTTGGCCAGCTTTATTGCCGTAAGTATAAATCCGAGTGTAGGTGCAAGGCTCGGGAGGGGTTTGTATATGTATGAGGGTGTGCGTCTGCGTATTTGTTGGGATTGCCGTCACTGGTCATGTTAGGGTTCAAGATTGCAATGTTTGAGCCATCTGTTAAAAAAAAACACCCACCAAATTCACACAGCTTGGATTCTTTTCTACAAGAACCGTGGGCTGCATCTCAATCCTGGAAAGCCTGTAATTTTTAAAGTGGAATTGTCTGGTGATGGAGTCGTGCGCGAACTCTAGCTACAAGAGGGTAGTAGTAGTAGTAGCTCAGGCCTGGACAACAGGGATACACCAAGCCAAACACACCGTATGACACTCACACAAACCCCCCAAAATTGCCTTCTGGTTTTCATTCCCTCTGTGATACTAAAAATATACAAGACAAGGCCAGTCGTTAAGGGCCTGGCAGTTGCCATGTTCATCTTGGTGGGCTCATAAACTGTACTAGACTGAGAGGCCATCCTCCTTTTAAAGCAAAGGGGGGGGGGTACTCCTATTCCACCTCTCTTTAGTGCCTGTGGTGTTCATGAGCAACATAGACAGTAAGCCAAATTAAGGTAAGGAATGCTGGAGCTGGAGAGGAAAGAGCAGAAGGGAGTGAGGGGGAAAGTTTGAGAAAGGAGCAAGAAGGATGGGGCAAAGAGAGAAGAAAATAGCAGTAGGCCGTGCAGCACAGCTGAGGTGGTGATGAAGTAGGTTTTATAGAGAACTTTGAAGGGAGCAAGATCATCGCTTGGCTGGATTCAACAAAGGGTGGCAGCAGCTGTTCTAGATCTTGGGACTGGTGTTAAGAAAGACAGTAGAGGGCAGCACAGATTTTCATCCCTGCAGCGTGGGCCGCGTGGGCAGCATCTGTGGCCTCTTCCCATTTGCTCTCCTCCCTGGCTGAACATGGGAAATCTTTTACCTCCATAGCGATTTTTATTTTAGGTAATTGCTTGGTGCCCCAGTCAACCTGCTAATCCTGCCCAAGGGGTGCAGAGAATCTCGCCATTCATTTGATAATGTCACCCAGTTTCTAATGTGATGCAAAAGTATGGTAAGATTTCCTCCAGCCTTTTGGCAGGACAAGACAGGTGACCAGTTTATCCCGTGATCAAAAGCATGCCAGTTGGTAAGTGGGCAGCTGCCTTCCGTATTCCTGTTTGGGCAAATGCCATGCCCTTTAGCCCAATGTCTCACAACAGTCTGCTTTTTTTTAAAAAAAAATCTCTCTCCCACATCTGCACCACAGGGAGGATGTGCTACATTTCTCTGCCAGCCCATAGATGTCCTAAAGACACGGCTTATGAATTCCCAGGGTGAATATCGGGTGAGTGATCTGATTCCCCAGAGCTTTGCAGATTGCCAGCTGCTTGCATTCAACATCATTGTACTTGAATCTGAAGACCAGGGGATAGAGTTGGGGGGATGCAGGGAATGCTAATCAAATATGTGGATGACACAAAACTGGGTGGAATAGCTAATATACAGTGGTCCCTTGCAAGACGATTCCCCCGCAGAACGATGAATCCACATGACAATGAGGTTTTGCGACCGCCATTGTGCTTCGCAAAACTGTTTCCTATGAGGGAATTTCGCTGGACGACGTTTAGGTCCGTGCTTCCCCAGACGCTTTTTTCCCCCGGGACCAATGCTTAGCAAGAGGACGACTGAACAGCTGATCGGCGGCTCTGCAAATGGCTTCCCTAGGGCAGCGCTCTCCAACGTTTTTCCGTGTGTGAGGAGCATGCACGCCAATGCAAAAAGCCCAGTGCAACCCTTGCCTGTCAGAGCCTCCCATGCAGGCGGATCTGAGCCAAGCAGCTTTTATGCCGGTCGGTCACAGTCGCCACCCATCCCACGTTGCTCTCTTGCCCCGCAGCATTCTTCACAAAAGGGGGACTTTGTGATGGGCAGCCTCTGGCCCCACTGGAAAGGTGGCTCCGGCAGGCTCAAGGCACCTCTCCCGCCCAGCAGGGAGTCTTGCACAGCGTGCGTGCGCGCACACTCTCCTGCCGAGCGCTCCGTCTCTCCCCCCACCGCATCCCTTCCATCCCACACTCCTTCTGCTAGCCTTCCCGGATCCCCTCAGCAAATCTCCTTGGTTAGCAGCTGGAGCTCTTGCTGATGGCGGCGGCGCGGGCGTGGAGGGGCAGCAGCTACTGCTGCTGCTGGGAAAGAGGCGACCCCTGCGTGGCGTCGGCGTCTGGGATCCTCCTCCGTGCGCTCTAAGGTGAGGGTGAAGGGGAAGCACAGCCTGACGAAGACATAGCCTGCAGCGACGGGCGCAGGAAGAGCTGGGGGGGAGAGGACTTTGGGCGCCAACAGCGAAAGACTCTTCCCAGTGCTCGCTGCCTCGCTCTCTTCGGCTGCTGTTGCTTGAGCGGTGCAACAAGGGACAGCTATGAGAAGTTGCCTCTAGCTGTTCCCTTGCCTCCAGCCTTCCCCAGATCAACCAGTGCACCTCCCAGCCCAGGCGCTGACCCACAGCACACCATCCCTCTTGCTCCGACAATACACGCTAACACCACCCAGGCGCCAGAGCCCCTCAGGACTCAACCCAATTTTGTCAGACGCCCACTCACAGAAACAACGGAAGGGAAGGGGGGTGCTTAGCAAGAGGACGATTGAACAGCTGATCAGCGGCTCCGCATAATGGCTTCCCTAGGGTGTTTTCTTTTGCAAGACAGCGATTTTAAATGGCTTCCCTATGGGCGATCTTCGCTGGACGATGACTGTTTTCCCCATTGGAATGTATTAAACGGGTTTCAATGCATTCCAATGGGGAAACTGTTTTCGCTAGACGATGTTTTCACAAGACAGCGAATGGAATGGATTAACATTGTCTAGCGAGGCACCACTGTACTGGAAGACCGAAACAAAGTTCAAAATGATCTAGAGAGGCTTGAGCACTGGGCGGCTGTTCTGAAAACAACAGAATGAAATTCAGCAGGTTCTGAAAACAACAGAATGAAATTAAGCAGGGATAAGTGCCAAGTAGCACACCTAGGAAAAAACAAACACACAGTTGCAAGATGGAGGTTACCTGGCTCAGCAATAGTAGAGAGAAGGGTCTTGGAATTGTTGTAGATCACAAGCTAAATATGAGCCAACAGTCTGATGTGACTACAAAAGGGTAAATGCTATTTTAGGCTGTACTAATAGAAGTACTGTATAGTTTCCAAATCCCACAAGGTGCTAGTCCCCCTCTATTCAGGACTGGTTAGGCCTCACTTTGAGTATTGTGTCCAGTTCTGGACACCACGCATGAAGTAGGATGCTAACAAACTGGAACAAGTTCAGAGGAGGGTAACGTGGATTATCAGGAGGCTGGAAGCCAAGCCCTGTGAGGAAAGGCTGAAAGAATTGGGCATTCTTGAGAAAAGAAGACCGATGGGTCATATGATGGCACTTTTCAAATACTTGAAAGGCTGTCATACAGAAGAGGGGCAGGATCTGTTCTTGATTGTCCCAGAGTGCAGGGCACACAACAATGGGCTCAAGTTACAGGAAGCCAGATTTTGATTGAATACCAAGAAAAACCTCCTAACTGTTTGAGCAGTATATCAGTGAAACCAATTACCTTGAAAGGTGGTGAGTGCTTGAGCAATATATCAGTGGAATCAATTACCTTGAAAGGTGGTGAGTGCTCCAACACTGGAGACATTTAAGAGAAATTAAGACAGCTAGCTGGAAGATGCCTTTTAATTTGTCTTCCTCCACTGAGCAGGGGTTGGACGTGATGGCCTTATACATCCCTTCCAACTTAAGTTTGTATTCCTCCAATGAGCAGGGGTTGGACTTGATGGCCTTATACATCCCTTCCAACTTAATTATTATATGATTCTTTGATACCTTTATTAGATTTGGCATTCAGATTTTGTGGGGGGGGGACCACACAGGGTCGTTGTTGTTGTTTTTCTTCATCACACTGGCATTGCTGGCCGCCTTCCTTCTTGAGTGCTTTACTTTTGCTGCAGGAGGCCATACCCTTGTTATGAACAACAGACTCATCCTGGTTGCTGTAGTTCCTCATCAGTTTGGGATAGCCAGAGGCTGAGCCTAGTAAGAACTGCAAGGGATTTGCACATGGAGGCAAAAGTTGCTGGTTGTGTACTGAGTGCTTTGGATTGCTTTGTTCCAGGGGGTCCTGCACTGTGCAATGGAGACAGCCAAGCTTGGACCACTGGCCTTTTATAAGGTAATATGGAAGGGATGGGAGAAGCAATGGGCAGCTGGGCCAAGCAGACCAGGCAGAAAGTGCAGGCAGTCTTGGTTCTGGCCCAGCCATGACCCCGGTTCCTCCATGTTCCTGCCTTGCCAAACACCACCATCTTATTGCTCTAGTTGTTCTTGTTTGTGGCCTCTGTGAATGCACACAAATGGGTTTTACTGCGCCTGCGCAGGACTTCTCAGAATATTCTAGAGCTTTAAAAGACGTGATTAGTAGGACATTGCCCTGTGGTGTGCATGCTGCGCCCGCCCATAATGCCTCAGTTCCTTTTAGCTGCTGCTGAAATTGGACTTCTGTAGTGATTAGTAGAGCGATTTTCTGATTTTCTCAATCTTAGTTTTCTGATCTTATGGACTGCCTTACGTTTTCAATTCCTGGATTATGGACTTGATGAGTTTTTCATTTACAGACGTTTCCCTGTGAGATATTTTTCTTCCATCTTCCCACCTTCCCGCCCTTTTTTATGTCCTCTACAGGCCCATTCAAGCATTGTACGACATGTGACAATAAAATTCATTTTACTGACGGCCACGATTGTTGCTTGTTCTGCCTGGGCAAAAGTCACCAGACCCACATCTGTCTGGAGTGTAAAAAAATACCAAAGCCAGCTCTTAAACTCCGACTGCAATGACTCCAGTCCCATTTGTGGGAAAAAATCCTTAACACCCTCAAGCCGTCCAACCAGCCCCACGATGGAGCCTACCTCCACTCCAGTGCCTCGGCCTGAGCCTTCTCACCCACCTGCTCCAATTATTCCATTGCCGAAAGCCTCCACCAAGGCTTCCAAGCCGAAATCCCCCTTGGCATCGGCATCAACCTCGGTGTCGGAGTTGTCCTCGGCCTGATACGAAGCAAAAAGAGAAGGACAGGGCTAAGCAAAAGAAAGCTAAGCAGATTCCTAAGCCTCACCACCCTCAAGAGCCTCCGGTCATTCAGATTTCCCTCCTGTCTCCCATTTTGAAGGAGTCGTCTGGAGATGTACTGGACCAGGACTCCATTTCAGAAGCGGGAGAGTCAGTACCGCTTACTCAAGCTCCAGCTTCGGTATTGATACCGGGCTTGTCTCAAAGTCATGGCCGCTCTGAGGCTCAGTAGCGCAGTGGTTAAACCGCTGTACTGCAGCCAAAACTGTGCTCACAACCTGGGGTTTGATCCCAGTTAGCCGGCTCAAGGTTGACTCAGCCTTCTATCCTTCCGAGGTCGGTA